AATGCTCCAGGAGATCGCAATCCAAATACGTTGAAATACAAAATAACTGACCAAGAGTTTTATAAGCAAAATCTCGTGATTCGTCACGTGACCCGGCCCTGTCTGTGCATGACAACGTCAATCATCATCAAGATAACACACGTGATCAGCATGTGAACACCTCATTGGATGACAGTTAGTTGTCATAGTGTTGAGGGATAACACGCGTGATCAGAATGTGAACACCTCATTGGATCACAGTTAGTTGTCATGGTGTTGAGGGCCCAATGCCCTCTGGGTACTATTGCGCAATTTTTCCATTTTGTGGCGGAGGAAAAAAAAAAGACGATAAAAAAACAAAGGCATTTTATGACTGGGCTACCACAGGTATCCCAGTAAAAATATCGGCGTCGCCGTCGTACACGAAAACGATACCTGCTTGAGTATTTTGTTTTTGGCGGGCACAACGGGAGTCGTCCCAGTCTTACTCTACCAGTACCGTCGCCGTCCTGGCTTCCCGTCCTGGTATCTTAAGGTCCCTAATGTTTACATCGTGTCAGGGCCATTGTGTGTCGGACTATTGGGGTTCATACTGAAGATCATTGGATTTGTATTGTTTCCTTATTCGGAACTGGTTAGCTCAAATGACCACCACAAACCGCATAATATCAAGCCAAGCTTTAATAATTATTCGATCTAAAAGAAATACATTTATTATTTGCAATCAGAACAAACGCAAATCAGGTCTTTATCTCGTAGCTAAATTAAAGAACTTCAATGTGAAATTACTTCTGCGACGGGTCGTTACAACAGTCTCACTTTACAAGTTAGCAGATTCTCCAGGTAAGCGGATTTAGAGACAGAGAAATAATAACAACAACAACTTCTTTCTCATTTCGATTCTGCTGAAAAACTGATTTTAAACATAATAACCTAACGCTTTTAAATCAATGAATAGAATTAAAGTCAATCACGATTCCCGTCATCGAATGAATCTATCAATAAGAGGCACCGCCTACTTGATAAACGGAACATGTAGTGGGGATCATCCAACCCTCCCCCTCATAGCGAGATAAATAACATCTCATACAGAGTGGTACTAATGCTAACAGACGTTAATTAGTTCTTTATAATAAAAGAGCTGTTTACAGTGTAAGATAGAACAAAACAATGCATAGCCTGCGAGCTAGACCTCATTAATAGTACTGCAGGACGTGCGTTTCTCCGCCCGTGAGAAGATGAGACGAGTCGCCGGAGTCGGAGAGACTCCGAAATCTCTCAGATCTCTCAGATCTCAGAAAGCAATTTTAGTAGTACTTTTAAGCGAGTTTTTGTAAATTTACCAGTCAATTAAGGCATAAGATGGCGATTTTTATCCTTATTTTAAAATACCCCTATTCAGTGGAACTTGTATCAGGCGGTCGCTCTGTATCAAGCGGTTACCCTGCCACTCCCCGCATGTGACCGCTCAATACAGGTTCAAATGCAGCAAAAAAGACATAATGCTTGCGTTGAAAGAAAAAAAGCACGTAAGTCGAGTCGATTGGCAGTCGAAGGCACTCCGAAATTTGGCAAAAAAAATGCAAGCCTAAAACCATTAAGGAGAACTGTCCAGTTCCAATTCAGGTTCTTTTTTCCGGTTAACTGTTCAAATTAGTCGATTCCAAGAGCGGTTCAACTTCAAGCGCAGCTCGTAAAGTCCAAACAGAAGCAACTGCGACATTGCATTACCAACAAAAAGAAACAAGCAAATAATTATCGCAGCTCTCTTTGGATGTCCACTGTAGTCAAGAGCAGGGTAGATGTACGGCTCGCCATATGGATTTGTTCCCCCACAGGCCCAGTAAATAATGGAAAATATCATATAAACAGTGATGAATATGATTGGGTAAATAACGTGCAATAACTTGATCGGAATAGAGCTTACCATGATGTCGATAACAATAAGCACAGAGTTCAGAGCGTGCGAATTCAACGTTACGAAGTCAAAATCTCCAGGTTTGTAGACTAGGCTCCAAAACATCACGGTCACTGGAAAGGCAATGTTTGAAGCGATGTCACAAATGATCCATGATACCTTGCAAGCTAATGGAAGTTGTGGTTCGACACTGAATATGAATTGTTCGTCATCAGAGTTATCATCGCTTTCACTTTCTTCCTCGTATTCTTTGTTACTTCCTTTGATGTTCATTCCGTTAATGTTACTTCCGTTACTGTTACTTCCGTTACTGTTACTTCCGTTACTGTCACTTCCGTAACTGTTGGGCTGTACCGTTTGGTAATAATACACAAGAAACGCTTGAGTGACAAAATGTAGATTAATGAACGTGTAGCTCCAATTCGTGAGGAAGATCAACCATTTTAGACCCTGGTATTGCCTCTCAATTACAGCAAGTACTGTCATTGCTGTAGCGTATAGTGCCAGGACCACTCGGTATACAATAAAAGCGCGGCCGGTTAGCCACTAAGACAGGAAAAAAAATAAATGAAGCGCCTCGTAAAAACTTACACAAGTGTAAGTGTGTTACGAAGTTCATGAAAGGAAACAGGGGACTACTTAAACAACATAGAGCGGACTAGCTTAACATGAGGAGACTATCAAATGGCTGCCATGTTATTAATTGAAAGCGAAGTTACTTATTTCCAACTTAAGCTGGAGCGTGTCACTTGAGGCATGATACAGAATTGTTGCAAGCCACTTCATAGTAGGTATATTTTCCATTGTCTAATTGAAATTTTAAACCACCGAAGGTGGTACAGAAAATCTGCAAACTTGTTGAATCCACAATGGAAATCTGCCAATTACTTTAAGTTAGTCACGAGGTCTCAGAAGTGAATCAGCTGCAGATCAGAACAAGAGGTCATTCTGCATCAGATGTCAATTAACTAGACGTACAGCACCGGCTATTGATGATGAACTTACCATTGACGAAGAAAAATCAGCGATATCTGCATCACATGGCCATAGATTTCTACGACGAAACTGGTCTTTCAAAGACAGGCACATGATTTGCTTTATTCCTAAAAGCTCATGAACCTGAAACCCGAAACTGAAATGAATGGTAATGAGCCTTTTTGGACGAGTCTTTGACGTCATCAAAGTAACACAACATAACTTAACGTCACTCGGTACGAGTCGGCGGATTATTTTTGGGCTTTTGTCAACTCAATGTCATCGTGCTGAAAATGTCAGGAAAGTTCAGTGATGCACAATGAAATGCTTTTAGTGACAGACGTGTGAACAACGAGAATAACCACAATTACTGATGTTGCTCTCTGTTCCTGCCTGAGCGGAGTTCATAAATGTTTCCACACTGTTTACAATGCATGAACCTTAGCTGATAGGACTCTATGGAAGCAAAAACTGCATTAAAATACTGTTCAAAATACAAAATCATTCAATCTAACATCGCGTTTTCTATTAAGATAGCGTGACAGTTTCAAACGACTCCTTAAAATTGTGAAATTGTGAATATTTAGCTCTTCTTTTGGCGGCTGGACCGCTATATAAATGGCGTTTTAAACCATCCTTATCTTTGAGTATTTTCTGCTTGGCAAAATCAGAATGGAACAAACCTTGCTTAATATATTTTGGCTTAGACGAAGTAACTTATAGATTTATAAATTGCAGATGGATACGATATGAATTATCTGTTTTGTAAGATTAGGATTGATAGGCTTAATCTTAAAATCCACGCTTGCGAACATAGCACATCTAAGAACCGGAATCTAGTCATGACAGGTTAATTCTCCTGCTGGATGGCATAAAACAACGAAAAGCTTTTCGCGGAAGGCAAAAATTGCAATTGTATCCCAAGTTCTAGGCCAAGTGTTCCTTCTTTTTTTCCTCCATAATATAATACGTTAGATTTGAAGTGACGGTCACTGTTTCAAAAAAATGCTAATCAGGTGACGTTGATGACGTCAGAAATAAGCGATGAACACCTGTTTGTCTGTTCTTGTTATCATCATTTATTTTTCGTTCGCATTATTTCAATATCACAACACTCCGCTCCTCTGTATAGCGCTACTATGGCCCCTTGATCCGTTCCAAATCAGTTTGTCGCTTTGTTTTCGAGTGTCAAGTTATACTGCACAGTTAGCACCTAACTGTTCCAACTGACACTGCATGGCGCAGCGAACAAATTGATGCTCACTGAAAATTGACAACAAATCCGATACCTGAGCCGAAGAAGCACTTCACTTCATGAATCCGGAGTTTACCGAAGACTGAGTATCCATAAGGAGATAATTTTTTATCTTTTTTCTGATGACTTATACCGTGTAACTTTTTTATTCGTACGAGAAAATAAGAAATTTATGGCGGCTACAGCAAGACGAATCGGACTATCGACCCGCTTCGGAAGAAAAACATCGAGAGAAGATGACAGTAGCAATTGTAAGTCAAGAAAAATCAGTTCTGGGAGGCAAATATCACGGGAAGAAAATATTAATACTTTCTCTGTCAGAAAATCATCTCGAGGATTTCAAGAAGGTGAAATTCACTGCCAAGCGGCTTTGGAGGCAGCGTATTCTATTTCACGACCAGAGGCACATAGTTCATTTGATACAAAAGGAACAAGAATCAGACGGAAGATATCAGTGTATGCACGTCCAGAGTCACTCGAAAGAGAAGTTAACCCCCAAGGGACAAGATGGCAAGAATTTTTGATGAGATATGAACCGATAATATTATCCTCTTTGGTTTTATTGATTGTGTCTGTTTCTCTATATATCGTGTTCGTTGAAAGACAAAGTTTGTTTTCAAAATAAGAGACTTACTCGGTGATTAAAACCCCTGAGTTGCAATAATTTTAATTACACGTTCTTCCAAAGAAGACTTCAAATGTTTATTGCCGGATTACAAATCGTGTGATCTGTTCTACCGAACAAATTACTCAAAATAAAAATTTTTAGAAGGAAAAAAAAAGTTCATCAGTGCTAAATAAAAAATCGCTGTAGACGCGATGATTAATTTCCCTGTAAAATCAACACAGTCTGGTCGCGAAACACAAAAACCGAACGCAAATAGATATTTCTTTTTATTTAGCTCATCAACTGAGCTGACATTTAGGAAAGGTTTGTTATTAGCAGACCGAATGTTCAGACCCTCAGACCGTTTCCTGGCAAATTGCTCTGTTCGTGTACGTTTTTTTTTGGGGGGGGACTCTTTGAATAATTATCGGATATTTCCATTTTGCGAAAAATTCGGGCAGCTGAACATCATTGAACTTGAAGACGCTTTTAGACGTAAGACAAGTTGTTGATCTTATACTTTTCAGCTACATCTCATTACGATCTCTGCCAACAGCGATGCCGCAGACAAAACAATCAAGTAATCCGCATAACAATAAAACAATGACCGATGAAAGGCAAGGAAAGAACAAAGGTATTGCTATAAGCTCGTTCGATGCTGATGCAGAGAAGCAATCAAGGCAAGCTATCGACAGAAAAGTGTTGAATAGCCAAAAAATAATATCCTGAGGTATGAATTTCAATTATTTATTGCCCGGGGGAGGGAAGGGGTCGAGGATTTTTGGAGGGGATCACATGGTTTTCAGGGGTACGAGGGGGGGGGGGGGCAGTCGTCGCTAACAGAGTATGAAGGGGGGACTTTTAGGAAATTAAAAGCCAATGGGGGGATCATAAGAACACTACAGAGCGTATGGGGGGGGGGGCAGGTAAATTTTTTGGCTCAAAAAAAAATCCTCAAACCCCTGTCCCACTCCCTTACGCAATTAATCATGCTCGGTCCCTCAAAATTGTAGAAATTTTCAACACGTAGTTGAGACATTTGTTAGCTCAGATAAGGGCAGGTGCGAACTGAATGGTGTATGCTGTATTTCCCTCGATCATCAAGCACCATGCAAAGTTCTGCGGTTTTCTTCACACAAACTGAGCTTGTAAAATTTCTGTAAGAATACATTTTACCTCTGTTAGACTCGATTTACGTTCGCTTTGACACACTGCATCCGTTAACGGCATGTGACGTCAAAAGTTTCTCATCAAACTTGATTCCAGTGTCTTCCAATAAGACAATGACCGATGAAAGGCAAGGAAAGAACAAAGGTATTGCTATAAGCTCGTTCGATGCTGATGCAGAGAAGCAATCAAGGCAAACTATCGACAGAAAAGTGTTGAATAGCCAAAAAATAATATCCTGAGGTATGAATTTCAATTATTCATTGCCTGGGGGAGGGAAGGGGTCGAGGATTTTTGGAGGGGATCACATGGTTTTCATGGGTACGAGGGGGGGGGCAGTTGTCGCTAACAGAGTATGAAGGGGGGACTTTTAGGAAATTAAAAGCCAATGGGGGGATCATAAGAACACTACAGAGCGTATGGGGGAGGGGGGGGGGGAGACAGGTAAATTTTTTGACTCAAAAAATTTCCCTCGATCATCGAGCACCATGCAAAGTTCTGTTGTTTCCTTCACAAATTGAGCTTGTAAAATTTCTGTAAGAATACATTTCACCCTTGTAAGACTCGATTTCCGTTCGCTTTCACACACTGCATCCGTTAACGGCATGTGTCGTCAAAAGTTTCTCATCAAACTTGATTCCAGTGTCATGCCAAGCGTTATATAAAAGTTTTTCATCAAACATCTATTGTAATACAGCAGTCTTTGAAAGTAATCCATGCAGTATAGCTTCAATTCACCCTGCGCCCATCTTATAGCCGATCAGAAGCAACTCTAAAAAAAATCACGCCTTGGTCGCCCACGTTTTCCCGCACTTTAGTTAGTCTAGTTGTTTTTAATTTGACTCAGTTCTCATTGGCTCTTAAGGTGACTCCTCAGAAAAAAAAAATATCCAACAATTTTTTTTCAACTTTCTTTAAATGTTCCCTTCCAATGCTTGTTTAGAAAAACAAAATAAAAAGATAGGTTATCGTGCTTGTTTAAGAGATATAATGGGCCAAACCTATCCAATTTATGCCTGTATTGGCACTAATCACGCGCGTCATTTCATAGCTTCAAAGTAAATTTTGCGCCAACTAGAAGCAAGGCTTTTTACAGAAACACTTGATAGGTACAAGTTCTCAAACGAACGTAAAAATTTTATATACATTTTGAGGACAAATCGCCCAATATTAAACGACTTCGACATAAAGAATCGTGCATCGAGTCGTCGCTTAAAAGGACATAATTTGCATCCGCGAGTAACGGGTAAGATATATCTTATTTTTCCTTCGATTACTTCCTCATTTAATTTCTCCAATTTAAAGGGAATAATTTGAACACCGAAATTATTCGATAAAAAAATATACGTAATCGTGCTCATTTAAGAGCAAAAGAGCATCGTACCTCTTTACCTGGTCCACTGATTGAAAACTAATACAATGTTCTCGGAATGCGCGCCCGCTTATCAGCCTGATTTCGTGATTTTTATGCTCAGTACAGCGGATTTTCCTCTCCTCTGATTGGCCATTGCGATCACTATGGTTTTGGAATTTGGTTTTACGACACCCATCGGAAGACGCTCTATACATTTGTGGCTTTGATTCTGGTACGAAAGTATGTGTGAATTTTTAATGAAACTGCATTTCGTGAAATTTTTTTGCGGGAGTCAAAACAAAAATTGCTTTCCAGAAAGAACAGATTTGCAGTATATCAGACTAATCCATTTTCTTTCAAAAACAATAGACTATGTTGTTCAAAAGACGTCTGGTCACTTGGATAAACATTCCTCTTTTGTTTTTAAGATACCTAAAGTAAGTTTCATTTAATGCTGAGACAAAAGAAAGTTTGAAGAGTGGTGACTCCGGAATTTAATTTACAAACATTATAAACCAAATAACCGACTCCCTGAGAAACAAACGACCCTGATTGATTGAAGTTATACAAAATGTGGAGAACAGTTTCATGTGAAAAGTTGTTTTCACTGAAAATCTTATTTCAGTTAATCTGAAATCGCCAAAAAAAGCGTCAAAATACAAACACGAAAAGCCTTGCTATTCTTGGTTACGTAGGCGACCTTAATCCGTTACCAGGCAACTGGTGACAAACGAATAATTGAAAGATCAAGAGTCTACAAGTGACCGTGAACTCATGCAAACCAAACTATTTCTTTCGAAGCACTGCAGTTGAACTGCAGAAACTTCCCTTTTAAAGACAATTTAGCCGCGAAGAATACTGAAAAAGATCAGTGGAAGATTGAAAATAAGACGAATTTTGTTTGACGTGTCAGGGAATTGAGCAAATTCCAGTGTCGTAGAAAGGCACGATCCGCACTGTTCAGCAGCGTGCAGATGTCATTCACGCCATTAAGTTCCATCACCGTTGATCGTTGATTCGATTTTAAAAACGGTTGTTTAAAGCAACTGGTCACTGAAACGAAACTCAAAATGGCAGAAGAAGTTCAAGAAGGGCAACAGTTGAGCGACAGCGACAAAGCAGCCGAAAAACCAGCTCAAGACAATCCTGATCAAGAGACGGAACAAAAAAACGTGCAGCTGACTTCGTCAGGTAATAACTTGTTTATGAATCCTACTGGAGTGCTTTTCATTATTTTATTTATTTTTGACAGACTTATAAACACCATATCAAAAGACCGATGTTACGCAAGATCCATCGCGAATATTCTTAACTTCCTATTTCCTCGTAAACGATGCATGAAATTTATCAAATATCGACAACTCTTTCGTAACGTTCGATTTGTTTTAAGAGACCGTGATTGTGGTTTTATCCACGAGTAAACCCAAAACCCGAAGTAGCCGGTGAAAAGCTTTAAAAACCACCTCGAATGTTTCGATTACAAGGTTGCTTGCAATATAAACGATTGTGCAAGCGAACGAACTACCTCAACAAGGCAGTTTCACTTAAATAATTCAATAAATCAGACTTCATTGAAGTACATAAAAAATCACGAAATGAAAATCAAGAATTTCAGCTTTACTTATCAGCATGAGCAAATTGTTGTTATGAATTGTATAGCTTTTATATCAAGATGGAAACAGGCAAAACTCTATTCTTTTAAATGCCTACGTTATAGTAACTACCTCACAGTAGAAGTACATATTATTCACTACTTTTATTTTCTCGGTCAATGGCTTTGTTGTTCCTGTCTAATATTTAGTTGTAATTGGGATTCTTTACAGAGCCACCACAAGGTAGTGATCCTGTGGCACAAGAGGAGTCCAAACCAGAAACAGGAGATAGCTCAGCTCCACAGGAGCCCATCTCCAATGAAGGCGGTACAGAATCATCTGAGAGTGTAGAGCCTGTGAAAGATGCAGGTGAAGGACTTGCTGTAAGTGAGGAACAAGGAAATCAGAGGGAATCAGAGGAAAACACACCTGAGGAAAATGAGAATAACAATGTTAAGAGTGAGGAAAATTCAGAAGTACCCAAGGAAGAGACAGAAGTTAACAATGATGGTGAGAAAAAGGCAGAGTTACAGGAAGGTGATAGTGTGCCACAAGAGGAAAGTATTGCTCAAAAACCTGGTTATGAACAACAAGCTGAGGTGAAACCAGAAGAGAAGAGGGAGGAACCTACAGAGGAAGAAAACAAAGAGGAACAAGGTGCAGTCAGCCAGGAGGAAAACAAGCCAGCTGATGGAGAAAGTAATGTTCAAAAACCCAGTGAGGAGCAACAAGCTGAAGGAACAGCAGCAGAATCTGAAAATAAGGATATAGCAGAGAAGCAAGAAAATGAATCAAATGGAGAAAAAGGAGATGCTCCTGACATAACCAATACCAATCAAGAAGAAGCTACAAAGGGCACTATAACTACAGAAGATTCTTCTCAAAAACCCAGTGATAAGGATGAAGCTGATGGAGCAACTAAACCAGACATAACACCTGTAGAGACAGACAACAACAAAGATAATCAGATAGTACAAGCAACTCCAGAGAATGAACCCACAGATGTGAAGCAGGAAGAGGTTTCAGAGGAAGCTGACAAGCCTGTGGAGAACCAGGAACATATTCAGTCAGATGCTCCACCCACAGAACAACAGCCTGCTGTGACAACAACACAGATTGCTACCGTGCCTGCAAATGAAGCACCACAAACCAAACAAGATGAACTTCAAGAAGAGAACAAAAAATTAAAACAAGATATGTTTATGATGAAACAACAAGAGGATGCCTACAGAATCAAAGTCCTTAGCTTGGAACAAGAAGTTGGAAAGTTAAGAGCAAGAAAAATTGACAATAGAAGTACAGGTGTGTATTTCTTTTTCATGCAGGAAAGTAGGACAGCTGTGGGCCTAAATTCATCATAGACTCTTTACAGTTCTACTAGGTAGTATTGAACAAACCTTCACTCCTAAGGTCTCATTAGTAAATTTCCTTGCTGTCTGCCCTACAATTCTTATGATGTTAGATCAGAGAATTTGGTATTGGATCAAGAAATAATTCTGTTATTGGTATTTTTTTCTATTCTCATCACTTGCCTGTCTAATGTTGTATTGATATGCTATGAATAAATTCTGTCCTAATCGCACATTGGAATTAAAGGGTTAAAGAAAAAATCTGCTGTGACTCACATTTATGTTGGAAAAAAAATTACCAGAGACTCATAAAGGAAAGCCTGGAATAAAATCTTATTAACATAGTCTAACACCCAATCTATAAACTAGGAAAAAGTAAATGAAAAAATTTAATGTGATGTCTTTTTTTTCTTTTGTTGTCAGATTCACTTGCCTCAGACTCGGACAGTTACTTAAAACAGAAATTGGCAGAAACTGAGAGGGAACTAGATACAGCAGAGAGGAAAGTGAAGGACTTGCAGCTGAGACTGAAACGATTTGCTAAAGATGATCAGATTAAGGATGAAAAAATCTTCCAAATGGAAAAGGAGGTCAAAGAATTATCAGAACATATAAAGAAATTAGAGCGCTCAGTGGAGGATTCCAAAACAGAGAACAATAATAATGCAACCCTACAGGCAAACCCAGACAAAAATGATTCAAAAGTTTGTATAATTCTCTGATATTGAAAATTGTTTTTATACTCATTTTTATTTATTTTTTGAATTGTTATGGTTGACTATAATGTTGGATGTTGAATATTTAAATGTGCACAAATGAACTTTTTTTATTGACAAAGGCATTTCAATACAATATTCATATGACTTGTGTATTCTGTAATTATTAATATATTGACATGTTATTTTCATCAGTTATTTGAGGTTTGTTATAAGCATTATACTCTAATTTATGTTGAGGAAAAAGAAGAATTCTAAGTTGAATTCCTCCAACAACTTTAATTTGTACATTAATAGTAGGCAACCACATTTCTTTTGAGGCAATATACAGATCACAAGCATTTTCTTATACAAGTAGACAGTAAGCAGGATTTTGTAATTCTTGTTTAGCAGACATGTAAGCCTAAACATTATTTTTTGTGAATACACTATTTTTGATACATGTAAATACTTTTTTCAGATAGCTTACTTTGTACAATTGTCACAATCTGCATACCTGACAACTAAGTTGATCTGACATCTGGAATGTTTTACAGGATTCCTGTGGTAGACTTGACTCTTTCTGAAATCCAAACATCTCATTTCTCATTGACTTGAAAAAGGAACAAAAAATAACGATGAAAATTAAAAGTTTTTGTATATAATTCCTCAAAAAAAATCTACATTAACTTATTTCTTTCTAAGGCCCTAATGGTATTTCAGTATGTATACCATTTTATATTTTAATGTCAGAGTTACACAGGATGCCAAAAATAGTTGAATGTGTTTGATACTTATTGTTTGATGTTCTGTTTTAAGAACACAGTTTTCCATTATTACCTAGTAAACTCCACTAATCACAGAACCACAAAGACTGACAAAGTATCCATAGAATGGATGACTGCACAAGTAACAACCACGTCAAGTTTCATTTAATCAATTGTTTTTTCACTCAAAAATTGCCATGTTGTTTCATGAGATTTAATTAAATCAATGAATGAAGAGCCATGTCTGGTTTGGTGTCAGATTCTAAAAACATAAATGTTGACTCATTTAATGTTTTAACTCTTAAGAGTGACAAAGACAAAATTTTCCTTACAATAGCAATATGATATCAAGCAGACAAGTGATGAGAATTAAGAAAACTATCAATTAGAGGATTATTAGTTGATCCAACACCAATTTCTCCAAACCAATACGACACGAGGTGTGTTGTAGACAGTAAGGAGAATTAATGATGAGATCTTGGTAGTGAAAGGGTGAAGTCACTCTCAAGTACGGCATCATGCATCACTCTGCTTCCTACTTTCCCCCGCCCCCCTCCCCCCCTTTTTTTCCCCAACCATAAACCTTGGGACCCTCTGATGTAGTAATGGCGGCGTTTTCCTGTTCACGTTAAGGAAAACACAAAAATAAACTTACATTTTCGGAGCACCAAGACAGTGTTTTAACCCGGTAAACACCCACGAAAAAAGCAGATTATTTTATTTACTGTAAGCTGCACCTCACAATTTCGTACAACGCTATGTTTTATTGCGCATATTTAAATCGCCTCAGGTCACTAAAACTCACCCCATGTTAAGAGTAGGGATTACCTGTCCGGTTTTTCTTACAACCATAGCTTTGGTGGGGAGATTTCCGCACTGCCCCATTTCTTCATTAGCGGGCATACAGTTCTTAGATAAAAAAACAATAGCGAAAACTATCGATTACCTTTGGGACTTCGGCCTTCTTTTAGAATATCATGGGTCACACGGAAATTTCCTATTATACTTACAGATGTCAATACTCACATCAAATACAGCTGAGGTCATTCAGTTTGACCAAACCTCTGTCCGTTAGGTAAATTATATCGCAACAGTTCGCAATCTTCTCCGTCCTCTCGCGCGGACAGTTCGCGCGCTCTTGTACAGCTTGGTTACTAAGATCGCGGGCTCATTGTTTTTGTTGGATTCCTCACAAATTACTCGTAGAATGGAACGTGAAGGACAGAGTTAGATTTTGCTTTTCATTTGTTCTGGTTTAACTTCAAAAGAGAAAATTCAGCATTTCAAGTGTTAAATATGGGTTGTACCGTAAGTGGCGTCAACAGGAACAATTTTGAAAGAGCTCTTGTCAGAGGTGTTGCGAACAACGAAAGAGGACAGTTACTCATATGCGGTAGAGAAAAGAAAACTAACCTAAAGACGGAAAAAAGGAAATATTCGGGCAAAATCGAATTATTCAGAACTACAGATTTACCAAAGACCTTAACAACGAAGAAAATTATAGAATCCCCCCAGATGACAGCACTGTCCGATTCAATTTCGAACGAGAGAAATACACGTGTTTATTTGAGCACAGGTTTGAACAAAGAAGCCTTTCACAGACTAGATGGAAAATGGGAAGGCACCAAAACGGAGCAAATTATCCAAGGTACTGATATTATGTTTCTCAGCAGAATTTAAGATGTGGAGAAAGAAGAAGAGACAAGTCGTCCATCAGTTGCTGCTTTCCTTATTTTAAAATCCTTTACACTCTAGCATCAGTATCTGTATTCTCAACACTCCTCTCTGTACAGTTCTTTTGGTGCTAATAAGGAGAATACATTTAACAATCAAAGTTTCCTAGGTTGGCAATCATTTTTTTTATTCTCATGATTTAAATGAATGATTCGGAAGTATCGTAAAAGGATTAATTAGATGCTGGTCACTCTTAGAGTTTAGAGGATGAAAAATATAACTTCTGTTACTGTTTGGTTAAGAAGTTAACATGGTATGTTGAAAGGAGACTCTCTTTCCACTTGGTGACTGCATCTTGTGATAAAGATACAACTCCTCCCACCCAGAGTGAGAAGGGGGGGAGGAAGGGACATTAGAGGTAGACTGTCACCAAGGAGAATATATGAGGGTTAAAGAAAGAACAATAAAATTCATGTTCCTATGTACTAACTTCCTACCTCCCCACAGAAAAGTGAAGGTCAAATACATGCCCCCCCCCTCCATCCATGCTAAACTTTTTCCCAGACAATGCAGATTTGAGCTTTTCATATTATTCATCTTTTCAGAAGTTAACAGCAACCATCAATGCCACAGTTACAGCCTTGAGATTTCATGGCCAGATAGAATTAGTGAAAACCAGAGTGGAAAGACCAGTGAAGCTGGACTGGACCAGAAACTTAAACAAGACAGTTCCAATAGCCCTTGTTTTAAATTTTATGTCTCTATTTCAAACTCCAGCGATGGTTCAACACATCACAATGGAGCCACACAATCCATCTTGGAGTTCCGCAGTTGCATGCCAGATGATTTTCCTGGAGTGAAAAGTGGTCAAGTTGCTGTAGCTGTCCACGAAAGCTTCTTCAATTGTAAGTAACTATGAGATGTAGCATACATGGGGTGAGGTGAGGTGCAGTGGAAACTCTTTGTCCACTTACAAAAGTCAGAATTAAGACCTTAAAATAAGGGGTTAACTCATTACTCATTACAGAAGCCCCTTAACCCATTAGTAATGGGCTTCTGCTTAATATCCTTCTTCATCACAAGACTACAGGAGTCACTTTGATACTAAACCAAAGCACTACACCAAAGTGTGCAGCCATATCTTTATTTCTGTACCCAGTGTCACAGGAGTAGTGATATCAAAAGGAGTAACAAAGAAAACTTTGCTCTTGGGCCTCACAAGTCCAAAATACTTTACAAAGAGTCTACTGCTTAATAACTTACTTAGCTGAATTATGTCATCTTCAGCTTACAAGCAACAAGCATTATATATTTTTAAAATATTGTAAAACAAATTATGAGTAAAAGTCCAATGAGTTCATGGAACAGCAAATATGAACAATCTGGTAAATGAAAAATCTGTCCAAATTCTCATGCATGTTTATCATTGATGAGCATGATCCATAGTCTTGTGTAGCAGCTTGAATCTAAAAAAAAGGTAATTCATGAATGTATCTCAATTTTGTCTTTGTAGCATTTGGAGATGACTGTGATGATGATGAATACACCAGCTCAAGCCAGGGGTTTCTACATTGGATCAACTAAATATATAAAAAAGAAATAGCAACCTAAAAAACAAAATCCTTAGCTCTACCCATGTACTTATAGTGTACAATCCTCCAAGACTATCTATGCCTGTAGCTTGCCGCTTGCAGTAGGCACAGCATTACTACACTGATAAGAAACAAGAGTTGTACATCTCATAACACCTGAGTCAACTTTATTTCAACTCCACAGCTTTTTCCGCACTACAAACATTTAGAAATACAATTTGAAAAATAATTAAATTTCTCTATTGTTTACTAATAAATAGACACTTTCGCTTTTGGTTTTGAACATTCTTAAAATCCCTCATTTTGTAAGGATGTAAAAAGGATTTTAAGTTCCAGGATTAAAACTGCTCATTTCATTAAAACAATGTATTCCAAAAGACTTCCACAGGAAAAATGAGAATTCCACAACCTCTTCGAATTTTGTTTGTCTGATTCTTGGTAGTCTGAAGTTGGTTGCACTCAATGTGGATTAAAACTCTTTGGGTCAAAGTCAATATCTAAGTAACTGCACATCTACCCCTCCCGTAACCCAAATTTGATATCAGTCAACTGCTGTTAGGTTAGGGGAGGTGTAGGTGTGTAGTTACTCAGATTCTGAAATTGATCTAACTTTTCTATGTGTAATAAGTTATGACTGACCCTCTCTTTAACATTATAATGTACACAAAGAACAAATCAATACCACAATCAGGAAGTGTTTTTCTTAATTAGCACCACCTCTTGGGCTACTAAATAGCACACAAATTAATAACTGGCTTAACACAGATTTCCCATGAAACTACATGTACTACAACACAGCAGTCCCACGTCTGTGCATGTACAAACATTGTAATGACTAAGTGGCTTGTTTTAAGGCAGTCAGAACCAAGTTGTCTCACTCAGGTGACAAAAACACACAAACCAGTAAGTCAGGGTGTTTTAAAAACATTTTGCTGGTAAAGCAAAGGTTTATCAACAGGATACTCACATTAAAGCAAGCCTTTTGTTTGAATAATTATTGATTTTCCTTTGTCCTACTTTTGTTGCCTTTGATAGATTTCTGTGAACATTTCTGCTTTCTTTTGCTTATTTTGGGAGTCAGTTGTTGTTTTCTATATGTTTCCTTTTGATATTTTGCATGGGAAATTGGTGCACAGCCAGTCAGAATTACTCCTCTAACGCAAGCCTGGTGTTTGACTGATGTGTTATGCAGTACAAGGTATAAATTGCCAGCAAAGAATACACGGTCTTGAAAAAACCATGTCTACTGTTACCAGTATGGAAAATCTAAATATGTGCGTTGTTATTTTTGTTTCACTAGCAGTTCCCATGATCTGGAGTGCTCCAGTGCTTTGCCTTAACTCTTTAACTCCCAAGATCTCAGTAGTAATTCTCCTTACCATCTGTCATACAGTTGTAGTGATGTTGATTTGGAGAATTTGGTATTGGATCAACATATAATCTCCTAATTAATATTTTTCTTTATTCTCATCACTTGTCTGCTTGATATTGTATTGATATTATAAGGAGAAATTCTGTTTTAATCACTCATGGGAGTTAAAGGGTTAATACAGGCAAAGTGAAAATAAAAATGATAAGTGCATCAGTAACAAATGGTGAAATTGAATCTGACCAGTGTTTCATTTGAATGACTGTAAAATGAAAAATTACAAATACTACATCCAAAATACACTCTCACTTAAAAAGTTGTTAACCGTTCACACCCTAACATCAGTATGCATATTCCTCCATACTGTTCTTCATACATTTCCTAAGGTGCTGACGAGAAGAATTTGACAGTCAAGAGCTTCTTTAGTTTGTGATCATTTCCTAAGTTTTCTGATCTTTGTGTGTGATTAAGGGGTGATGTTTTAAGGATAAATTAGATGCAAATCACTCTTAGGGGTTAAAGGGTTAACAAAATAAAGTGTTCAATAGATTCAATTAATCAATGATCAGTAGCTTGCCAAAGAATGTTCTCAATACCTTATACAATAAAAAAAGACACCAATTTTCATTCATATTCAAACCAGTCCAATTACAATTTGAAACAACTTACATACATATAACGATTCTTCTAACAATTCAATTGAACTTATTATCAAACAAGGCATTGTAAAACTACACAGACAATAAGTTAAGGTAGATAAGAAATGAAGGTTTGCTAAAAAAGAGGAAACTACCTACTTTCAAGCTTTCAGCTATTGCAATGTTCCTCAAGTGTCACTGATCACTTTCATGTGTTGTACAGAGTGGAACACAAAGCACTCAAATGGAGGGAAAAAAGCCTCTAAAATGGCAATGGAACTGATCATCATTACCAATAAGCATATACACTTTAACCTGTAGAGAACTAATTTTAACAGATTCTTGACCCAAACTAAGTTTAAACTTGAGTAATTAGGGTTTTACTAGCCTCAAATAACTAAGTGGGGAGAGTTCAGTTCAGAATTAACACTTTAGGTCCTGTTTCGTTACTCAGTTGTGCAATCCCGTGCATAGTGTCCAGTCTCATTACAACGGTAACATTTCACATCATTTTGAACCTTCTGTGTGCAGTCCCGCTTCAAGTGGCCTTGTTGGCCACAGTTGTAACAGGACTGGCTTTCAGATGTACAATCACGAGCAAAATGGCCTGGTTTATTACACTTGTAGCAAACCGTTGTTGCATCCAAGGAACAGTCGCGTGCAAAATGGCCTGTCTTTCCACAACGGTAGCATTTTGTACCACAGTCCCGTGCAAAATGGCCCTCCCTACCACACTTGTAGCAGCCAGTTTCAGAATCTATCCCTTTATCTTCAGACATTGGACAATCTCTGACAAAGTGACCTATTTTTCCACAATTGTAGCACTCTCTCTTGCCATCCGTATTCTCTGGACAGTCTCTCTGCATATGACCCTTTTGACCACATGAATAGCACTCATCTGAGGATTTAAGAACATATATATGTATATGCATTTTCTAGTTTGCTCAATGCCTTTAACTTTTAACACCTCTGGAACACACTTAGAAAGCATGTGAGAAATCCAGCATATCAATTTAAGTCTTTAACCAGGTTTCAAGGGTGGTTAAGTGTTTAGATATTTATGTTTTTACTTAGTTGTACTGCAGATGGAGGTCATTCTTATACCGCTTCCCAAAAAAGAATATGCTTTGCCAGGTGTAGCACTGAACCATTGATCTGACCCTTTTAACTGCTTTATGGTTATCACTGAAAAGACCTCACATTCTCTTAAGGAATTGAAACCAAATTTATTCAACACTTTTTCAAAGGCCTGGTTGTTAAAGCCCAGTGGAATCTTAGAGCCATTAAATCCAGCAGCATTATCTATTTTAGAATGACACACTTAAATCAATGTAAAGCTGTAGTGAGAAAACTAAGAAAAACTGAAGTCACTTGTGCACGCAAAGTATAGATTTTCTTGAATTAAGTGTTGTAGACATGAATTTTCATGTGACCTAGAAGAGCTAAAGAGTGACTTGATTTGAGCTCAAGCCCTGTTTAGAAGGAAAAGATTTGCATAAATGTGAGCAGCCTTTCACGAAGCCACATGTCAAGCTTTTTATCTTTGGCTATTGTTTGGCTTGCTAGATTTAAATCATTTCCACAAAACTGCAGTCATGATCCTCAAAAAGTTCTTCAAGCATGTTGAGCCTTGATTCTCAGTAATTTCAGGCATTGAAATTCGAGTCAAGACTGTCAACTCACTTTTGAGCTGTAATGTGGCATACTGATGTAAGGGTGTAAAAAATTTAAAAGGCTGCCCTGTTCAACTTTGAATAGTGTCACAATGAGTCCATCTTGAAGTTTGCTTGAATTACAATCTGTCCTAATGTGGTTGATCTACTTTCTGAATCTATTCCTCTTAAACACATCACTGTCCCCAATTCTATAAAAAGAGTAAGATACCTGTACAACTTCAGTTCACCCTTTGCCCCCTTACATCAGTATTCATATTCTCCTCACTGTTCCCGTTACAATTCCTATGATACTGACAAGGAGAATTTGTTTGACAGTCAGGGGTTTCTTAAATTAGTTGCCTCTATTCTTG